AACTCCACTAGTCCTGGCTCAAAAATAGAGCATTTCTATTGAGCCCGCTGTTAAAATGGCCAACTTTACAGCAGAAACTTTTATAACTCATCCATTTCATTTAAATTAAGTTATATTAAGTCTGCATAATTGAGGGCGTGGCCACTTGAGTGACAGCTAGATCTCGCTGATTGCCGTCAACGTCATTCCGGCTGATTAGACACTAAACTCTGCATATATACCGTATAGTTTTATGTAACTTTCCACATTCAGTTGCCTTTTGGAATTATCTCTTCCATAATATGCCATGCTGTGCACTTAATTGTGTTCAAAACCCTGCTAAAAAATCCAGCTTAAACCACCCTAAGCTGGTTTTAGCTGGTTGACCAGCCTGGTTTTAGAGGGGCTTTGGCCATTTCCAGCCTGGTTTCCAGCCATTCGCTGCCTGGTTTCAGCTGGTCAGGCTGGGAGTCCAACCAAAACCAGCTATGTTCAGCTTAAACCAGGCTGGTCAAGCTGGTTTTAGCTGAATTTAGCTGGCCATTTCCAGCCTGACCAGCTAAGACCAGGCTGGAAACCACCCTGGAAATGGCCAAAACCCCCCTAAAATCAGGCTGTTCAAGCAGCTAAAACCAGCCTAGGTTGGTTTAAGCTGGATTTTTCAGCAGGGAAAAGTTATAATCGTAATAATAGGCAGGTAATACGCGTCTAATAAATGATGTGAATTGTTAGTTAAACTAAAGTGTTGCCAATTTTTGTAGTTTTGGACACTTTACAGTAAAGTTTCACGTTTTTACTAACATGAACTAAAAATGAACAATATTGTACAGCATTTAAATGCTAAAAAATCCAGCTTAAACCAGCCTAGGCTGGTTTAAGCTGGATTTTTCAGCAGGGTAATCATAGTTTAACATTTACTAAAGTATTATTAATATCCAAATGCATTATTTAATATACTGTGATTTAACATGAGATAACAACTTTATTCAGTCATTTATAACTAATGTTAAATAAATAGTGT